TATAAATGCAAAAAACAAAAACAAAAACAAACGAAAAAACTCCCCGAAGCCCTACATTACAACTACACTACTGCTACTACTACAACTACAACTACTACTACTACTACTGTTACAATTATTACAACTTCTGCTACTACTATTATTACTCCTACTACTTAATATTACTTCTACTACTACTATTGCCACTACTACTGTTACTATTATTACAATTACTGTTAGTATTACTACAACTACTCTTACTACTGCTACTACTACAACTACAACTACCACTACTACAACTACTGTTACAACTACTACAACTATTGCTACTACTATTATTACTCCTACTACTTAACATTACTACAACTACTACTACTACTACTACTACTTCTACAACTACTACTGCTACTACTACAACTACAACTATCACTACTACAACTACTGTTACAACTACTACAACTATTGCTACTACTATTATTACTCCTACTACTTAATATTACTACAACTACTACTACTATTACTTCTACAACTACTACTGCTACTACTGCAACTACTACTACTGCTACTACATTTACTACTGTTACTATTATTACTACTACTACTACATGTGGCTGAAATTTAAATATTTATTACAAAACTGCTGTTAAAGGTGCACTATGTAACATTTTGCTTCAGGGTCCATCACCTGCATTTCTTCTTCTATGTCATTGCTTTGCCTGGAATGTCCCACAGTATGACATTAAACAGCTCTATTTTTCATATTTCAAATTACAGGTGGTTTTATAGTTCAAAAATACCTAAAAAACAGGCATTCTGACTGTGAGCGGCGTCGCCTCTCCACAGATCTGACCTGTAACTTGGTCTGATTTGGTCTCCATGAAGATAGAAAGGTTTATTATCATACTGTGAAAATTTCCAGACAAAACAATAACATCTCCATGGAGAAAAACATTTGATGGACCCTCCACCAAAATTGTTACACAATACACCTTTGAACAGCAACTGAAAACATATATTTTTTTGCTTTTCCTGCACCCTCTCTCCCCTAACTCCTCACCCATCACCCATTAACCCTCCCCGTCTGCTCTGTCTCCTTCGGGTGCCCTCCACTTCCAGTGCTCTTGAGTCCTGCTTCTTTGTGGTGGCTGACTAAGGCCCTTGACATGGAGAAATAGTGCGAGTGAAAGAGCTCTCTGCAGTGACGCCTCCATCAGGTCCCCCCACACTGGCCCTCACCTCCAACCAATCACTCAAACCTCTTCACCACCTCCACCTGCAGAGCGACGCTGTGGTGGGCGGAGAGGAGGGACAAAGCCAGAGAGTGGACATTGTTGAGATTTCTATGCGTTGTGAGTATCTTAGCAATCTAGCTTTCATTTCACTAATGGTGTTTTTATTCCTTCTGGCAAAGAGCAGCTCCTTTTAAGAGTTGCACAAAATGGAGCAGATCTAAATGTGACAACTGTAGCTTTAGATGGGGTATATGTAGATGGGACAGTAGATCCGGGGGGTCAAGGGGGTCTGGGGTCCCGAGCGTGAGGGTTTTAGAGGTCCAGGATTGGACCCTCTCCCTATTAATTTATATTAGAGGGGGTCTCATGTGAGGCTTCTTGCCCCGGGCCCCTAAATTTCTGTTGACAGGTTTTCTGACCTTGCAGCATTAGAATTTGTTCGCTCAATGGTAGGTGGGTATTTTTTTTAATTTAACCAATCGCTGCTATTTGGTCGTGACGCATGTAATGTGCCAGAATGCTCAGTGGAGTCCAAGTAATTGCCAATACAAAAGCAAACAAAGCAGAGAGTGAGCATGTCTGTCAACGATCATTGTTGTTTCTGCGGGGTGAACTTGCGATTTAAAGGTGCAATAAAAAATGCGAAGTTCATATTTGACATAGGAAGGACTTGGATTGGTTCAGGTCTTCACTGATTGGCTGGTGCGCGGTCTACAACTTCCGGGGTTCTTGCAAACCGTCTAGCATATTCCGATTCCTGACGTAGTCGCTGGAGAGAAATTAAATTAAGTGGAGGCACTAGGTGGCGCCAGAGCAGAAACATAAACCATAAATCAATATATGAGTGCACAAAATTAGATATTTAAATTATACATTCACTATCATAACAGACAAACAAATTTAAATATTCAGCATAATATGTATAACTCCTAAATCCTTTGGCGAGTTACTTGGAATGGGGCGGAGAGGTACTCATAACTCTCGAGCTACAGGTTGGCGACAACGCTCTAAACCATAGACTGTATACATAAATGGACATAGCTAACCCACTGCATTCCAAATTGGAGCTGACTATGGGGGCGCTTCTGGCTACATTGACTCTGGCCTCAATTGACTTGAAAAACTGTGGCCCCTCTCTCTGTAACTGCTCCTCTGAACCTCGTCATTTTGTTAATAAAATGTTCATATTAAGCCACTCTACATGATCCTGGTGCTGTTATTTCGCTACTTTGTCCGAAAAAAAATCCTATTCTTAATATGGAACTCGGCTCCATATTCTCCTCCTACAACTGCTAGCCTCATGAGCTTTATATGACTAGAGCCGAATGTTATGGGTGACATCACACTTAGGCTGCGTTCAGACTGCAGCCTGAAGTGACTCAAATCTGATTTTTTGGCCTCTATGTGACCTGTATCTGATCTTTTAATGACAGTCTGAACGACACAGATCCGATTTTTTCAAATGCGACCCAGGCCACTTGGATATGTGGTCCTGAAACCGATACATAACCGATCTTTTGACATGCGACTTCAGTGTGAACGGCCAAAGTGCATTCATTCCGACCTACACGTTATCAACAAGCCACAAACGTCACTATTCTGAGCTGAAGTAGGCGAAAATTGTTAATGAACTCCGTGTCACTGAAGCGAAGCACATCACCACTCACCACTCTTGGCTACGTCTCCACATCCACACGTTCCTTTCAACGGACGTCGCTGCCGCTGTCCCACAAAACTCCACGGCCTAGAACCTCGTCCTTCTCCTTCTCAATCTCCTCCTTAAAACAAGTAAGTTGTTCATGTTCTGGCTCCGGTACGAGAGGAACTTTAAAATCGCCAGGTGCTCAATGCTCGAGTCCATGTTTGGACATCTTCCGTAAACACAGAGCACGCTCGCTGCGGTTGACGTCATCGTGTCTCCAGTGCACATGCGGGACACTTTCAGGCCGTTTACTGTTCACACAAGGGATCACATACAAGTCGCATTTAATTGGAGATGTGAACGACCTCGCAAAAACATTGGATTTCACAAAAAAATCGAAATTGAGCGTTAAGCCCTGCAGACTGAACGTAGCCTAAGTCCACGTCTTTATACAGCCAGTGATGTAAACGCATTATTCTCGTTATCTGATTTACCCTTGCACAACCAACAATCCCAAATCCAAAATGTACCACAGCAACGGACAGTATCAAGCTCTTTCTTTACAACACAGTCTATAGCAAAGTGACATTTACTCTCTTACAAGAAAAAGTTGGGCACAGTAGCTTTAAGATGTCAGAGGCTGTTATGACCACTCTATTGTGTGGTCGGGCAGTGGAAACAGCGAGCGGCAACTCTTGAATCATGAAGCACTAGTGTCACTCAAGTGGCCCAGTACTCCAAAGCAATTACTCCTCGACTTTGTGCCTTATTTTTCTGAATGGGAAGTTTGAGAGATCTCGAAATAGCTGTGAGGTAACACAAGGACAGAAGAATGGCATTGTTCTGCTAATGTAATATTAACATGGTATTGTATTTGTCATATATGAGTGACACTTCTGTACAGGGAAGCCAGTCTGATGTGATTTACAAGACAGATGATTTATGTGTTTCTTTGTGATGAGATTTGAACAGAATTATTGCTCTGGAGGCAATGTTTCACTGTCCTTGGGAAGTGCAAAACATTTCACTTTCAACAGACTTCTGATAATGTTCTGTAAATTCTATTGTACAATATAAATGTTTTTTTTTCCTTCCATGTTTCTCTAACCTTCCTCCATCTAAATTTTGCTGCCAGACAATAACCGCTCAGGATTGAAGTGTTGGGTTTTTCGTTTTTCTTCATACAAATTCTCTAAAATCACCGCGATATCAGCAGCAGTGAAACGCCATTGTTACGGTTCTGAATGGACGGGCCGGAGGTGCGCCCATTTAGACCGTCGGGCGAAAGGACCGGCGCAGGGCTTCGTGCCCCATGGGGCTAATCGCAGCAGGCACCTGATCACGCATTGCGAACACCCTGATCCGCGGGCTCCGGGTTCTCTCAGGGGCGGTCCTAGATTCCAAGTCCTAGTCCAAGATTAGTCCTGGTTTAGTCCTGGTTTAGACCTGGTTTATTCCTGGTTTAGACATGGTTTAGACCTGGTTTAGACATGTTTTAGACCTGGTTTAGACCTGGTTTAGACCTGGTTTAGTCCTGGTTTAGACCTGGTTTAGTCCTGGTTTAGACCTGGTCCTGGTTCAGTCCTGGTTCAGTCTTGGTTCAGACCTGGTTTAGACCTGGTTTAGACCTGGTTTAGACCTGGTTCAGTTCTGGTTTAGTCCTGGTTCACTTCTGGTTTAGTCCTGGTTTAGTTTAGACCTGGTTTAGGCCTGGTTTAGACCTGGTTTAGTCCTGGTTTAGACCTGGTTTAGTCCTGGTTCAGTCCTGGTTCAGTCTTGGTTCAGACCTGGTTTAGACCTGGTTTAGACCTGGTTTAGACCTGGTTCAGTTCTGGTTTAGTCCTGGTTCACTGGTTTAGTCCTGGTTTAGTCCTGGTTTAGTCCTGGTTTAGTCCTGCTTCAGTCCTGGAATCCGTCCTCCGTTCAGTCCAAATACGGCTCATAAGTTCGGCATCTTCGCTCGCTGTTATTTGACAATCAGTGACAGTTATTTTGGTGAGAGTAACTTAAAAATGCTGCAGTAGTTCTGTAATGCCTTACATTTTAAATGCAGTAATATTATAAGGTAACAAATGACTTTGAAACAACAGTAACAAGTAACAAATAACGCATTACAGTTTTGAAGTAACTTCCCCAACAGTGCTCACCGTTGCGGTCGATGGCGAACGGCGTGTTGCTGGTGCTGATCTGGTAGTTGCAGATCTGGCTGTACTGAGGAGAGCAGTCCTGGTCTGTGGCCTCCACCTGCAGAATGCTATCGTAGATCTTTCCCTCTGTGACTGCAGCGTGGTACTGAGGCTCCCGGAACACAGGCGCAAACTCATTCACGTCATTCACCTGGATGTGCACCACCGCTCTGTGCACAAAGGGGAGAAACACACGGTTAAAGTCAGACTGAAGGACAAAATAAGAATACTCAAATGGAAGTACAAGTAGTGGTACAAACTAAAAATGTAACTGTCTTGACATAATATCAAACTTATAATTACACTTTTATTATTGTTGTAGTACTTGAAAGTGCCACATGGATGTGCTTCTCTTATTTACTATGTATTGAACAGTCACAGGTAAGACTTGCTGCAGTGCTGTGTCATAGAGACGCATACACCTCTGTGCTACAACCCGAGTGACATGTATAATCACGGCCTTATCTTGATTGATTGTTTGATATTGATTGAAAGATCAATACTAATTGAGACCTGGCATTGGTTTCTAAGTGTGTAATAAACCAAGTATCCATGGACATCTGCAGGTCTTTGCTCTTCTCTCAGCTTTCCCCGAGGCACATGCTAAAGGATATATGGCCTGACCACTAGGCCTCTAACGATAATCAATAACTTTTAACGAGCTTGATAACTTTTCCGGCCATGATAATTTCTATTTGCATGTTTGTTTGTTTTCCTCGTCTCTCTCTCTACCAATGAGTCTGAATGTCTCCTGTTGCTCTCTACTGACTCCTCTCGTTTCCTTATTGTAATGACTCTTGAATGCACATGTCAGCATAGACCGTACGGACAGATTATTTGTTCATCAACACAGCAGATGTGCGCATAGCCTGAGTGCAGAAAGTGCCGCTGTCTGTGGCGGTTAACACAAAGCCGCAACTCTAGCTAGTGCTGCCGTCAGAGCACCAAAACATCATCAAGCCACTTAATACTTAGACAACCAAATCTGTGTATCATTCATTCATTCATTTTTCAATATAAAACCAAAAATAAGAAAATTTAAAAACAACCGTTTTCTTCATTATTTGTCTCCAAAACCAAAATAATGATTTGTTTTTTCAATTTTTGATTTTGTGTTTAAATTAATAATTGAAAAAACTGAAAACGGCCGTTTCCCGTTTCCGTGACTTAAACTGTGATGCCAGACTGAACCAGGGCTAAACCAGGACTAAACCAGGGACTAAACTGTTTTCAGTCCTGGTCTGATCCCAGTCTCAGTCCCGGTCTGGTCCCGGTCTGGTCCCGGTCTGGTCCGGTCTGGTCCCGATCTGGTCCCGGTCTCAGTCCCTGTCTGGTCCCGGTCTCAGTCCCAATCTGGTCCCGCTCTGGTCCTGGTCTTAGTCCCGGTCTCAGTCCTGGTCTGATCCCAGACTCAGTTCTGGTCTGGTCCCGGTCTAAGTCCTGGTCTCAGTCCTGGTTTGATTCTGGTCTCGGACCTGGTTTAGTCCTGGTTCAGTCCTGGTTCAGTCCTCGTTCACTCCGTACGTGGCGCAAAAGTCCATCACAGTTTAAGTCAAGGAAATGGGAAACGGTCGTTATCTGTTTTTTTCCATTATTCCTTCAAACACAAAAACGAAAACTGAAAAAACAAATCGTTATCAGTTTTTTTCATTTTGGTTTTGGAGACAAATAATGAAGAAAATATTTTTTTCATTTTCTTATTTTTGGTTTTATATGGAAAAACGAATGATACATGGATTCAACCAATTCATTTAAGCAGATATGCATTACTCTTGAATGTAATATATTCATGAAAGAGGTTTCAAATGCAAAAATGTAGTTATTACCCAAACATCGGTTCAGATCTGTCAGAAAGAAACTAGAATTTAACAACTAGAGCACAACATTAAATATGAGGTCTACGACTACAAAAACACACACTGTACAGCCTTTCCATGTTCACAGTCTCGCCCAGCCTCCATAAGGTACCACAAATCAATCACTATGTAGTTAGTCATTATACAGTGACATGCGTGTTCCAGGAAACCACATTTTAATGAATTCAATGTTCTTCCATGAAAAGTCCAGTTTCCTGTAGATTAAAGTGAGTCTTTTATATCCACATAGGCTCTAAAGCTGTTTGCTCTGGTTGGACATGGACATATACGAGATAGTACAAAGTTGGTCCCTCATTACCGCGCCTCATCAGATCGTGGTTGTGTTAAAGGGTCAGGCTCACGGCAGGGGGGTGATCTGCAATGGTGATTCAGTTTGTTAACCTCAAATCACATTTCCATCCACTGCCCTCGCCTTTAATTACTCCGATCAGGCAAAACATTATACACACAGGAAGGTCGAGTGAAAAAACGGTTAGGTATTTATCCTGGCACCTGCTATGAGAGGGAGTTCTGTTTAAAGGGGTAAGTGGACATTTTGTTCTGGAAATACATAGAAATGGCTCATCTTAGTCAATATTTGAAAAGTATACATAAGTGGTGGTTTAGACCTGGGTAAGGCCTGGTTTAGTCCTGGTTTAGTTCTCGGTAAAAACCTGTTTTAGTCCTGGTTTAGACCTGTTTCAGTCCTGATTTAGTTGTGGGTTAGACCTGGTTCAGTCCAGATCAGAGTTAGACCAGGTTGAGTCCTGGTCTAGTCTAGTCTGTCCTGGTCTAACCCTGGTCTAGTCTAGTCTAGATTAAAACAATTTTAGTCCTGGTTTAGTTCAATGTAAGACATGGTTCAGTCCTGGTTTAGTTCTAGATTAGAACTAGTTTAGTCCTGGTTTAGTTCTGGGTTAAACCTGGTCCAGTCCTGCTCTGGGTTAGACCTGGTTGAGTCTTGGTTTCCTTTCTGAGTATGACCTAGTTTAGTCCTGTTTTAGTCCTGGCATTAGACCTGGTCCAGTCCTGGGTTAGTTCTGGATTAGAACTAGTTTAGTCCTGGTTTACTTCTGGGTTAGACCTGGTTCATTCCTGGTTTAGTTCTGCATTAGACCTTATTCAGTCCTGGTTTAGATCTGGGTTATACCTGGTTTAATCCTGGTTTAGTTCTGAGTAAAACCTAGTTTAGTCCTAGTTTAGTTCTGGGTTAGACCTGGTTTAGTCATGGTTTAGTTCTGGGTTAAACCAGGTTCCGTCCTATTTTACAGCAGTTCTGGGTTTGACCTGGGTTAGTCCTGGTTCAGTCCTGGTGTAGTTCTGTATTAGACCAGGTTTACTTCTGGTTTAGTTCTGAGAAGACGTAGTTTAGACATGGTTTAGTCCTGATTTAGCTCTGGGTTAGACCTAGTTTAGTCCTGGTTTAATTCTGCATCTGATCTGCTCCAGTCCTGGTTTAGTTCTGGATTAGACCTGGTTTAGTCCTGGTTTAATTCTGAGAAGAAATTTAAATTACTTAATGACTCAAAGATGATTTTGACAGAATGAAGAATGCACTGCAAATACTGAAATAATAGTAATTTAGTCCTGTTAAAAATAGATACATATAGGGTATTCATATTTGCGCTCGGCATTTGACCCAATTAACAAAGCCGTCTTACTGTGAGCGAAAATTCTACTCTTTGAGAACGATCATTGTCCTTTAGTCACTCCCACAAACGCATTGTAGACAGCACTAATGAATCACTGCTTAAATGGTCTCTGGGTACTTTTTCATGTTAACTCACACATATTGAAGCCAGAAAACAGTGCATCCATCAAGTCACAATGTCTTCATCAATACTGAGACGCAGCCAGAAGGCACAGAAGCGTTCAATCCATGGCTAGCTTCATAAAATGACAATAGGAGATAGATGGTGATTGTACTGAGGATTGTTCTAGTGCTCATATTGGCAGTTCGTTGTAATACTTTAGCTTTACGACACAAGGGGGAGCCGATGAGTGCGTTGTTTATGGCATTAGCTGGTGGCGATGGCAGTCACTGTGAAAATGCCCCATTAAAATAAGCACTAACTGTCGATGTTTAAAGCGGGTGGCAGCGAAAGACGGTGGATAGAAGAGGTACAGAGAGGGTAAGTGGGTTCTGTCTGCTGTCTTATCTCACAGCTTCATGAGTTTGGTGAATGTTTGTTTGTATGTTTCATTTTGCAAGAAGTAAATTGGATTTGACTGGATATAACCGTTTTGGGTTCAGTTCTTTGACAGATAATTTCATGCTGTTTACCTTAGAAAAGAGGTGAAAATCGGTCTACAGCTGTAGAGTCGGACAATAATGCACAGTATTATTATCACTGACAGGTACTACTATAGGTCACTACTACTACTACTGCTACTACAACTACAACTATTATCACCACTACTATCACTACTACTACTACCTACTAGAGCCCGACCGATATGGCCGATATGAAACCGATATAATGGGAGATGTTGCTGCCGATAGCCGATATAATCGCCGATATATTTAGTGATGTAAAAATTCACTGTAAATGTTGAATTGTTTAAAAAACTTAGGTTTGGCTCTGGTGGATTTTAAATTGGGTTTATTTAGGCAACATTTATTGTTATTCTGCCTCTTTACATCATATTTACAGACAGTAGGTTGGCTTAATGGCATTTTTGCATCACATTCTAGACACTAGTGATGGTATTCCAGTTCTTTTTAGAGAACCGGCTCTTTTGGCTCGGCTCACTAAAAGCTGCTGGTTCTTTTGGCTCCCAAGTGGCTCTTCAGATTGTTTTGTTGCAAGCAGGACTGAATCAGGACTGAACCAGGTCTAAACCAGGACTGAAAAAGGACTAAACCGGGACTTATTTATTTTATGCTAAACTACAGTCAAATATGCTTTTTTTTTTTTTTTTTTTTTTTTAATCCTACGTACACGCAAATTTCTCAAAGTTTCGTTTTGAGCCGCTGCCGCTGTCAAACCACGAATCTGCACGCGGCGTGAAGAAGAAAAAAGTGAGAGAAAGAGAAAACACGGCTCCCAATAAGGATCAGGCTCCCGTCGTTCCCTTCAAAGAGCCGGTTCTAAGAGTCATTTCGTTCGCGACGGACCCATAACTAGTAAAGAAAGTAGCGCTATTAGCCTTTAGCCGTAAATACGTGCGCGCCGCGGTAATTAATTATATGCGCAAATGTCATAATTCACACGTCTATTCACAGCTCATTTACATATCAGTGCAGGTCCAGTAGCAAATATACGGCCAATATAGTCACTTTAGAACAGACCTGTTTATGTGCGGGAGCTACA